ACATTCTCTATTGTAATTTTGTTCCTGTTTATTTTTAAATTTTCTTTTTGTTTCACTGGAAAGGAAAGATGATGCTCAGTTTTAAACGTTAAAAGTGTACAAGTTGCTTTGTTACAATAAAACTAAATGTGTACACAAAGGATTTGATGCTTTTCTCTCAGCATAGGTATGCTTACTATGACCTTCCAGGTTTGACTTGTATAACATCACTGTCAAACTTTGTCACCCTAACTTCGTATTTTTTGATACGCACTTTGCAGGATGACCTCAGGGCTATGTGGATTGAGTAATGGGATTTGAATCAATGTATTAATATCTCCATAGCTGGGAAACGTGGGTTCAATTTACCATTGGTTTCTGAAAGTGTTCACATCATTTGGGATACCAGATTGCTCAATACTTTTCTGGGTATATTGTGCCCTTGATTTTTATCTCCAAGTGGCAGTTTTTAAAATTGGCCTTTTACCTGGATATAAAGTAATAGTGCCTGCCACCACCATCCAACAGACCTGGTGCTCTAATGCAAAGTTATACATGGGACAGTTGCTGGCATGTCTTCATTGGCTATATAAAATGTGGCCAAGAAGATAGGCTCTCAGAGTAAGAAGGCTGTGATGGTTAGCAGTAACTGTCCCTGCTCTCTGGTATAAAGCTCTCAAATGTGACTGTGAATCTGGGTGGGATAAGGGACTCGGCTCTGTCTGCTCAATGCCATTGTGCAGAGAAGCACCCTAATGCATAAGCTTTTTAATGCTGTAAAATATAGTTGCTGAAATTAAATGCCACTTTTTCAGAGGTGAATTAATGGACAGTCTGGTGAAATTCAAAAGCTTTTTGATGTATAAAACTTGATAAATGGAACTATTCCATCAATAGGCAAAAGTGTAACAACCTATCTAGATGGATAGTATGTAATTTCTGCACAGGTCTCTGTTTAGTAAATACATCACTGTATACCGATCAGGAATCTTGCTCCAATAAAGGAACATAAAGATTTTTTTTGGACTGGGGTCATTCTCCTTGTTTTGTAGAGGAATGTTACTTGCTATTGGATTTAGAAATTGTTGTATTTTTTTTGTCTTCACATCATTAGTGACTGGGGAAGCGTGGGCTAGCACTAATGGTACAACATTGGTTTAGAAAGCTTTGAGCTGGTCGGTGTACAAGTAAAGGATAAATTCAAATATCTTACTTGGATACAGTTTCTGAGAGGGTGAGTATAGCATTTTCATTTTGAAGTCTCAAAAGGACTTTTTCACTGGGAAGAAAATCCAGTAAGGTGGGTGCTGTTATCTGCAGCTTGAGCTACACATAGTCAGCTGCAGTTCAGATATTTTGAGACAATATACATTTACATGTGTGAATGTATATACAGTTACAGTATATAATAGTTGTCAAAATGGTCCTATACTGTTAACCTCTTAATTGTGCTTAATTTGGAAGTTAAGTTTTATAGGCATGTATAGGAAAAATTGTATGGAGCTTGGTACTCCTGTGGTTTCAGGCAGCCACTGGGGCATCTTAGAATGTATCTCCTTTGGATAAGTGGGGCTACTGTAGTCATTTGAATGAATATCCACAAGCCTGTGATACTTTTTCACACACTTAACAGTGAAACTTCAACTAGTGATTTTACATGCTGGTGAGATTCTAGGGCTGTCAGGATATAGGTCACAAATAATGTTTATTTTGGGGAATGTCAAAAATTGGGAGCCCTCTAAGGTAGTAGTTCACTCTCAACTGTTGTGATCTCCTGAGGTGCTCCTAATATCTGTGAATTTGTAAGAGAACTAGGCTGTGAGAAAGCAAAATGGCAACCTTAATGTACCAAAAAATTTAGTACACAGTAGCCGGCATACCTTGTGTCCAATTGCAAGACAAATTCTTGGGCTGGTCTTTAGTGTGTATTAGAACGGGCTCAGCTCCTTTTCTCAAGGACATTTGAAAATAGAAAATAGAAGCTGGGCACAGTGGCACATACCTGTAATTGCAGTGCTTTGGGAGGCCCAGGCTGAAGCATCATGTAAGCCCAGGAGCTCTAGGCCAACCTGGAAGACAGGGACATCCCATCACTACCATAAAAAAACAAACAAAAAAAAAACCAGGTGTGGTGGCACTAGGCTAATTCTAGCTACTTGAGAAGCGGGGGCAGGAGGATTGCCTTAGTCCAGGAGTTTGAGGCTGCACTGAGCTATGACTTTGCCATTGTGCTTCAGCCTGGGTGGCAGAGCAGCAGTAGTTTACTTTTTAATAGGCCTGAGGCAAAGGGCTGCAGAATAGCAAGGACTTTTAAAGTGGAGGGTATGGGCCAACTGTAGTTGGTGACATTGTGTGCTCATATTCTACCCAGACAAACCAAGATAAAAATGGACTGGTTGTAGGGCCAGGTGTGGTGTCTTACACCTGTAATCCCAGCACTTTGGGAGGCCGAGGTGGGGAGATCATGAGGTCAGAAGTTCGATATCAGCCTGGCCAACATGGTGAAACCCTATCTCTACTAAAAGTACAAAAATTAGCCAGGCGTGGTGGCATGAGCCTGTAATCCCAGCCACTTGGGAGACTGAGGTAGGAGAATTGTTTGAACCCAGGAGGCAGAGGTTGCAGTGAGCTGAGATCATGCCACTGCACTCCAGCCTGGGCGACAGATTGAGATGGTGTCTCAGAAAAAAAAACAGAAATTGACTGGTTGCAACACTGAGAAGGAAAAAGCTGTATGCATGGAAGGGGGAAAATGTTTCCTCATGCAGTCTGTTGACAAGTTTTAGGTTCCTTTCAGTTGAGTTATAATTTTTGTTTTTTGTTTTTTGAGATGGAGTTTTGCTTATTGCCCAGGCTGGAGTGCAATGGCGCGATCTCCGCTCACAGCACCCTCCGCCTCCCCGGTTCAGGCGATTCTGCCTCGACTTCCCGAGTAGCTGGGATTACAGGCATGTGCCACCATGCCAGGCTAATTTTGTATTTTTAGTAGAGACAGGGTTTCTCCATGTTGGTCAGGCTGGTCTTGAACTCCCGACCTCTGGTGATCCACCTGCCTCAGCCTCCCAAAGTGCTGGGATTACAGGCGTGAGCCGCCGCGCCCGGCAAGTTATAGTCTTTTAAGGCCAACTGGCTAGAAAGTTGGTTTGCACTATTCACAGTCCACTGAATGCTGAACACTAATTTCCTAAGAATTCCAGTCTTCTTTTTTTTTTTTTTTTTTTTTTGAGGCGGAGTCTCTCTCTGTCGCCCAGGCTGGAGTGCAGTGGCCGG